GTGTGTGTGTGTGTGTGTGTGTGTGGGTGAGTCAGTGTGTTGCTGTGATCAGTGTGACGAAGCACAGTGACAGAGCGCTGGCCATCTGGAGACAGATGACAGTGTGAATCACCAGAGAGGAGGATGGAGGAAGGAAAGGGGGAGGTGGTGGGATGGATGAAGGGAGGGTACGGAGAAGGTATGACGGGAAGACAGAGAGAGAGAGAGAGAGAGAGAGAGAGAGAGAGAGGGAGAGAAGGGAGTGGGGTGACACATCAGCAGGTGGGTGGGGAAATGAGGGGGCTCACGAGGACAAAGCATTTGCGCCATCTGAAAGCTGTGCACGTGCTCACATGCACACATTCCGTCTCTCAGTGGCCCTTTTTAAACTAGCTAATGACCTGCTTGTCAACACTTTAGTCTAATCATCCTAGAGTGAATGGGGGTGGCAACTCAACAGACTCATCCAAACACACACACGCACGTGCCCACAAGCTTACTTACACGCTGTTAGTTGTTGAAATAGGAGCCTGCTTGATGCCTGATAAGAAAATGAACCCTCCAAATAGATCATTTACTAAAGAGGGGGAAATCATTCAAAAGGCACACAGAAACATAGGGCCCAGATTATCTCTCAGCTGGTGGAAGCTTATCGGCCCTCTACTTCAACTGTAGCCTCCCCTTTCTGCCTCTTATTTCTTCTCACAGTAGATTCTACCCAACTGCTGTTTTTTTCCTCCCTGTGCCACCTATTTACAATCTCCATCTTCATCTTGACTGCCACTCTCTCTCCCACTCCGCATCCCTTTTTCTGCCGCTCAAGTAGGAAAAAGTAACAACACACGTCTACTTTGCATTCCAGACATTTCTCTATTTTGGGTAAATAGATAATGTCACCTGCTTCTCAGCTCCCATTCCATCCTTTATTGCTCAACGGTGAATGTAGAGACCAGATGGGAGATGGGAAGCATCAGAGCGTGCAGGTAGTGGAGGATTTGAGATTGAGAGTAGCAGACAGACAGGTGGGAGACATGTGAGAAACAAAAGGAAAAAGGGATGCTCATATACACACACTATCAAAACATGAATGTGAAAGACACATGGGACTGTTTGTTATGTTGAAAGGACATACAGGAAGTCAATGCAACACTTTTATCAAAGTGATCGACCACTAAGCCAATATTTATCAAATCGGCAACACAGTGCCTCCGTGATGGTAGTCTATGGTATGGGGTTTAGGATCCACATGGATCCGTGAGGGAGAATCCTAAGCAAAATATGCAGCAAAAATGATGAACGCCGTGATAATAAATGACATACTAACGAACGATTATTTCACTATCAATTAATCTGCCCATTTTTTTCTCAGTCAGTCCTTTGGTAGATACAATGCCCATCACAGTTTCTTAAAGCACAAGTTGGCATCTTCAGATTGCTTCTTTAGCCCAACCAACAGTGTAAATAAGTCCAAATTTATTCAATTTAATATTACATGAAACAAAGAAAAACAGCAAATCCTCACATGTAAGAAGCTTGAATTAGGTCATTTGTGCTTTAAAAGGACTCGTTGCAGGTTAATTTTTCTTTCAGCTCACTTATTATTTTAGCACTACAAACTATGTCAACAAGATAATGAATGAGTATGACTGTCCTTCGTACAGAATTCCCTCTCACAATGCCTGAAATGTAGAACAGCTACTAAAATCAGGATAAAACCAACAGCAGAGGCCTTGTGATATGATCTTGTAATAGGGGTCTAAAGTCTGTGTCTAATTGAGGGTTCAAAGCCATGAAAACATGGGAGAAATCCCAACTTCTAGAGCCAGCTAGCCCTCGACTGAGGCGCAGCTGTTGCTGAGGCTGCTGGCTGGAGGAGCTATCCATGGTGCTGAAGAGAACTTCAGCTGAGTGGTTAACTCAGCTGCGCCCTTCGCTGTCCAGGGTGCTGAAAATGTCACCATACAGTGAGGTTTTGGGGATCTCCATGGGTCACTGGAGCCGGCGCCGCGTTAAATTATGAATAATTCAACTTAAGTATAGCAAAGCAATGACCTTCCCTGTAAGAAAAAGTCTATGAAAACTAGTAGATTCCACTCTCATCCCTCAGTTTAGACACTGGAGGATTCATTACTAAATCATCAACAGTGTTTCCAAATAGGTGTTCCCAATTAAAATTGCATCAATTAGAGGTCCACGGCCTTTTTGTGTGCCTGAGGGTCTTTAAAAATGTTCAAGTTTGAGTTTGTCATTTTTGATTTGACTTCAAAAACGACTTTATACCAAGGTTTTTCCCCCCTGCGTTACTGCATCGAAACACACGCGGGCCCGTGCACAGACACAGGCACAGACACACTTTCGCCTTGTCTCTTTCTTCAGGGGGCCCATGACTGCGCGAATACAAGCAAATGTCATGAAGTAAAAAAGATAAAAAGGAAAGGGGCATCAAGCCCTCCAGTCCTCATAACATTACTGCAAGTTGCATCACGAGCACAACGCGGTGCCTTTATATAAAGGAGAGCTTTGGCTGAGAGGAGAGGAGGACGACGGAGCGTGATCTTGCGTGTAAATGGACATGCTGAGCGACTGTCTCATGCGCCGTTGACGACTGATCTTATACCGGCCGAGCTGGAGAGGAGAGCCCAAACACGTAGCGGATAGGCAAGACACGTAACCCTCAATCTGCCTCCGCTTCCCTCCCCTTCCTGGCCTTTGCATTCTCTCCTCTGTACGTTTAAATGAATAGAGGTTGATTACCGCTTATTGAGCGACGAGTCCACGGGGACAGTTGGTTTTGATCCCGTGGAGAGAGCGCACAGCTCTCTTCAATAGCTCTTTGTCAGAAAAACCTTTAACACATCTCTATCTTTGGCAGCGTGGCCCATGGGAACTTCAATGTGGTTACAAGGGAAGGCTGAAACTTGTTTAAAGTGAGGCTGGTTGACAAATGAACGCTGCATTGAAGCGCTGTCATACACCTGAGACACATCTATGATGCTTATCAAACATGGCCTGGTTATGATCAGCCTTCTCATCACACACACGTATCTTTAATTGGCAAGTGTTGCCTTTGGTTTTGATAAAGTATGCGGGTGGAGAGAAACGCCACGAATCCCAGGCCCTCTCTCCCCTCTCCGCTCCTCACCTCTCAGCATAGTGTGAGGCTCTGGTGCCGCTCAATGGGAGGATGGGGCAACTGCTGGTGGCTGCTGCACCGAGGGACGCGCCAGACCACCTCAACGCCGGCTGGCACGTCGGATTCAAACATATTTATTGACACCGTTTAAAGTAAACGTTGTTACGGGGAGGTAGATAGATAGCCTGGCCCTTTCCTGCTCTTCGTAAATATGTGCAATAAGTTAGAGTCGCTTTACTGGCTCCAAAAGTAGACTCAAACGGCAAGAGAGTGGGCAATAAAAAAAGCTCCCTGGACGCAAATAAAACAAGAAGCCTCCTACGAATATAGCCGCAATGAGATTTACTCCACAGGAAAGTGGGGGGGGAGATTTGGGACTGAGCTGTGTGTGATAAACCTACATCACACCAAAACCAGCTGGGTGGCTGATGACACAAGTTTGATCAAAAAGTGGGAGTTATGTGGTGGGAGACATGAGGGGGTGACGTATCTGTAAAACAGTAACGCACCAGCTCAAGACACACTCATACAGTATGAGACGACACGACCTAACTGTGCTCTGTTGATGCTGAAAATGTGCCCAGTTTCCACTCACTCGTGGATTATCTGTTCTGTCCACGCAAAGGTATGAGTGGGCGAACACAGAGCCATGACTCACTGTCAAATTCATATTGTGGCCGTGGCAGTATTCTTGGCTTTTGCTAAAAATAGTGCCCATTCTGTGGTGTGGGAGCCAAGACAGTGATAAAACGGGTTGGCTTTCTTTGCCAAAAAGGACCTGCTCGGGATGGCAAAAATCATTGCGGCTCTTCCCCGAAAAGCCCCGGCCTCTAAATAATGCCCCAAGCTTTTCGTGATGAATGTCCACAGCTACGGAAAGAAAAGAAAAAAAAACCCCAACAAAACATGGATCAGTAACTGAGTCTGTCCTTTTAGAAAACACAGTAGGTTGCGAAAACGTGGAAGTAAATTAATAGTAATGATAATCTGTTGAATGCCCAGCTCCGGTTACAAGATTTCCATTTGCCATTAATCAAGGACAGAAAACACAGAGTCAGTTAATTAGGCCTCCCACCCACACACCCTCCCACCCCATACACACGCGCACAAACACAAACACACGCGCATGCAAAGAAAGAAAGAAGGGGGAGAGAAACTGTACACCAAATGTTGTTCATTGATGTTTACCTGGGCAAGAGGAGAATCTTAAGGGGTCTGAAATGAGAAACTGAGAAGGAACAGTCAGAAAGGAGAACATCCCCCTTATCACACACACGCACACACACACACACACACACACACACACACACACACACACACACACTCACACACACACACACACACACACACACACACACACACACACACCCTGTTGGACTCTGAACAGCATAACAATCAGCCGCCTGCTTGACCACCTCAACTGATTTCCTCATGCCAGCAGCGCATGCCGCACATACCCAATAACCTTCCTCCTTACCCGAAAAACCTCATCTGTAGGATGTTTATTTAAACATCCCTACAGCTCATTTAATCCAACCATCTCCTAAAAAAAAAGCACCTAACACAGTCCATTAATGAAACGCATCAACAGAGTCAAGGATAGACACCAAGCTCAGTTGGATCCGCTGTCACCAAAATAGCCACCCAACCAGCCAGCGCTCCTCTATTAATAACTTTGGGTGCTAGAACAGCGACGTAGCAGCAAGGTTGATCCTAAATGCGCCTTTAGGATGGGTGCGTGTGTGTGTGTGTGTGTGTGTGTGTGTGTGTGTGTTTGCTGATGCTGATTTGCATACAGTAAAGGGATCGGGGGAGGGTGGGCGGTGGAGTGGGGTAAGCCTGCTGCATTTTGCACGTCTTCAGCCGTACAGATGGGGGGGGGACTTACCCTTTACTGAGGCGGCCAGTAGCCCCATATATAAGAACAGCACCCGGCTCCAATGGTGCGCCTGCACTCCCGCCTTCATTAGAGCAAAAATCCGTATTCCGTCCCCTTTCCTGCATGCGCATTCCTGTCTCCTCTCAAGTCCCGTTGCTCCGTCCCGGTTTGAAGCGGCGGTCATGGCAGGGCTTTTTTACTCTGATCTGGCAGGCACGATAGTTCTCAGATGGTCAAAAAAGGGAGATTCACTCGGTGTCGGCGCTGAGAAAAATCCCAATGCATGGAGGAGGCTCGGATCTCGCAGCTGGACTGAACCATGTCATGCGGGCACCGAGGGGTTCAGAGTCTCTGTCTGAGAAGATAGATTTCACACCTAAAGGGGGGAAAGGAGGGAAGGCAAACCGAAGGGGGAAACGTGATTCAAGTGGTCACTGATCTACCACACGCGTAAAAAATCACGAAAATCCCTAGTCCGCTCCACATATGCAATAGATATTTACCGGACACACGCCAAAAAGCAGGAGATCCCTCCTTCAGTTTATCCTGCCGCACTTATTTGTCCTTCTCTTTAATTTAGCTCCCTTTAATAACAACATTTGCGGTGCCGATAATCCACGTTTAAACTCGTCATTAGACCGAGATTCAAAGGAACGAACGACGAATGATGGAGATGGAGAGCCACAGAGGTTATCCGGATCCAAGAATGAAAAGAAAAAAAACGCCCCGTTTTAGAAGTTCTCGACCAACATTGGAGTGCAGTCAGTGATCTTTCTGTACGGAGAGAAATATGCGGTATGTATGTATTCCAAGTATCGCAGCGCTTGGCCACAGCGTCGTCTCGGGTCTGTGCGACGCCAAGATTCAGACTGCAGACCTGCTCCTTCTCTGCGCGCGTCTCTCTCTCTCTCTCTCTCTCTCTCTCTCTCTCTCTCTCTCCCTCCCTCTCTTTCTCTCTCCCACTCTCCCTCTCTAGCTCGCTCTCTCCCCCTTCTATCTCTGTAGGCTGCCTTCTCCCTTCTCTTAATAATAAGACTAATACTAATAATACTAATACTAATACTACTACTAATACTACTACTAATAATAATAATAATAATAATACGATACTAAGGATTAGATCCATCTTGTTTCAATTTGTTATGGTAAGATTTAGGGGGCCCACAACGAGGCCATTGTCTCCATCCATTAAGACCAATCATCGGATTGCCCGGCAGTTTAACATAGATGTCCACTTCCTGCTCACTAAACGTGAAATTGATGCTTAACAGGCTGGAACACCTCGCCAGTAAATTTGAATGTCATTTCCACTTTTGCATATGGCCGGTATAATTAGTTTTCTGCAATGCGCCGTGCGTGGAAACAGTCGTGATAATGAAATGCGCGTTGGCCTTCAACACTACATATATGATTGAGGGCAGGAATAGTCTCCCCGCAACATTAAATTCAACTTTGCCAACACTGGATAGCTCCTGATCAGGTCGTCCTGGGACGCATCTTTGTTAAAGAAATTAAACTTTTATTATGGAGCCTTATATGAGTTATTATTGGTAAACTGTAGGAGTCCAGTACGTTTGTGTGTGCATATATGTACAGTCCAACATGTTTGAATCTAATAGCCTAAGTAGACACATAATGTACATCCATTCATTGACTGCAGTGAGTATTAGAGATTAATGATAGGACATTAAATCGGATTGTTATATGCACCAACTCGCGTCCATCTTTTTGCCATTAAAGCAACATGATAGGGAATAGTTTCATCGGATTTACACTGGCTGAAACAGCATCCTCGAACCATAATCCTCGAATTTCAACCGGTTGCTATGACAGCATGCCAAGAGCACACCAGATATTGTTTCCTTTCAAAAAAGCTGCTTCAAAATAAACAACTGAACGCTGCGAGAAGACTGACAAGCCCATGCGTGTGAACAACAGAGAGAAAATGATGCTACCAGAAGATACTTGGATGAAAGGAAGCCCCAAGCCCTTCGTGAGTGCTTTTGCGCCTTTTCCGCGCTCCACCTGGATCCATCCGCACGTGCCGATGGACAACTTTGACCGGGTCTGCAGAAACATCTGGAGAAGAGAAAATGAGGTAGAGGAGGAGCTTGACAGATGTAAAAGTTCACCTGAGAGACAGCACAGTAGAGACTGCAAGGCTCCAGACAGCAAACCACTTCACCGGTAAGTCTGTCAGGCACAAAGAAAGTCTAAAGGTAATTTTATATACAGTAGCTATTTCTCATTCATATACCCTAACCCTGCCTAGCTGAATGGTGCTCATGCAGCCACATCACTTGGTTCTCAAGTGTGGTAACGTTATCATCTCGTTTTACTTTTAAGGAATGCTTGAATACTCAGTCTATCTGATTATCAAGATGCACTTTCATTATTAAGAGTTTAAAAGTAGTAAAAGAAAACATCATTTACTAATACTTCATAGATCAGGATCATTAATTGGTTTGCTAGGTTGTGAAAAATACCATTGGCTGGTGTTTGTGAATTTCCCCACTATCTATCTATCTATCTATCTATCTATCTATCTATCTATCTATCTATCTATCTATCTATCTATCTATCTATCTATCTATCTATCTATCCATCCTTTGAAGTAACGTTAATGCAGTTATAAATATTGGAAATCCATTAATAAATGCCCCTCAGATCTCCACTTTCAAATAAGCCATCACGTCTAACGTTACATAAGTGGTACAAAGTCATTAGTACATGGTTAGGAGTTTCTTACTGCAGCTTTTATGTTAAAAAATATAAATATGTGGTTTTTACATAAACAAATTGTGGTTCATTGTACTGTAGAGGTCATCCTGAAGTTTTTGACCTGTCGCTTCTATACAAGCTGTTTTGTTATTGGCCGCAGTGTCCTTCTGAAATTCACAACATTATTTGGATAGACATTGGGATAAATTGGACAGACCTATAGAAAAAGGATGAACAAATAGTTAGGATGGATGAGAAGTTGAGACCTATTTCTAACGCAGATCTTAACATTGCAGTGTAGGTGGGATGCTGTGCGGTCATAGACCCACTGTATAATGTTAATGTACACCATCTGCTCACCGGCTGACCGGAGCTTCCATGAAGTCTCCGTTATCATAAGCGTTCCTGGTCTCAGCGGACCGTCTGTTCCACTTCGTGGCTCAACAGTCGACAGGCTGGTGACTAAAGAGTAGCCTCATTAAAGAGTCATGGTTTGAAGCGGGTGGCACATTGCACATAGAGGATGCAGCCATGGACCCAATGATTCATACTGTTTGAGGCAAAACATTGTACATACAGTATCAACTGGTTAACCTATTGTCATGTGTTGTTTATAGGTCTATTTGTGAATCAGTTAGGTAAGAATTATGCACAAACAAAGAATTATAATTTTACCAAGTGGTGGGCTAAGCATCTTAAAGGTGAAGTGTGTAGGAATTTGTGTCATCTAGCAGTGTAGTTGCAGATTGCAACTCTCTCACTTCATCCTCCCCTAACCAAACGCAATGGTAAAGCTATGGCCCGATCTAGAGCTGGTTTGTCCCTTCTAGGCTACTGTACAAACATGGTGGTTCAACATGGGGGACTCCATGGAAGGCGACCCACTGTGTCTGTAGACATAAAAGGTAATGTAAGGTAAGGCGCTATGGTAACGAATACAATGATTCCTATATTCAGGTGATTATAAGCTAATGAAAACATAGGCACTGTATTCCATTTCTGCCAATAGAGCCTCCAAAATGGTACACACCAGACCTTTAAAATACGAAGTAAAAAAGCAGAAAACTCCTCCACTGCCTCCAATTAAACCTGTCTTGAGCATGTTCATGATACAAGTGACCTTTTCTTTATACTACATGATCACCACTGTGATCAGATTTGAAAATAAATGTCACCTGCTTCTGAAACTCCTCCTCCATAGTATACAAGACTGCATGAGCCAGTTAACCTTGTAGTCCCAGCAATTTTGGTGTGATGGCCTTTCATGTATAAATGATGTGTTAACCCCTCCACACTCCTACATATGCCTCTCTTCCTGTCTAGGGCTGAGGAGAAGCAGAAAGAGACAGATGATTTGGACCTGAGCAGACAGAAGGACAAGCAGCAATACAACACTGACTTCATCCTTCCTTCCCCTTATCTCTCGGGCCACATGCATGCCTATGTTGGCAAGCCTGCACAGGTAATGAGGCCTTTGATGGCAAAAGAGATCAAACAAAATGAGGGTGAGGCAGGGTAAACGAATGAATGAATTTGGAGGCTAAAGTGGATTTCTGTGTTGGTTTACTGTAGGTTAGTTAACCTATGCCTTTAGAACCCAAAATATCAGAACATTATTAACTCCATTCTATCAAAAACCTAACTAAGCAATATTTTCCATTGTCAACAGTCATGTCAGGAGAGAGATGAAACAGATGAACAAAGTAGTATTGAAACTTCCCTTAAGAAGATTTGGGTTCCCCAATCCAGCAGCAGAAAAGACAAACAGAGCTCTGCACCTGAACCTCAACGTCTGGTGACAAATCCGATCTGCTCTGCCACTGAGAGCCACACCCCATGCCTGCAGGAGAAGGAAAATCCTTCCAAACTACCTAGGGATACATGTGAAAGCGAGGATGAGCAGAGCATAAGAAGCAGCTCTGACAGCAACTCTAGTGATGATGATGATCTTGTAACTCTACCTGGGGCGCGAAACTGCGCCACTGATAGCAGTGGTGATGACTCAGCAAGCGACAACAATGACTGTGAAGAAGAGGAAAATGATATTCCACACTCATTTGATGAATTAAGCTCTGACAGTGAGCAGGATTCCCCATCCTCTAGCACAGAGAAGGACTCTCCTCCACCATCTACTATCAAGGCTGGCATTTTACCATGTCCCACGGAGCCTCCAGCCTCGGGGAAGATGCATGGCCAGTGGGAGATTCCCCTTTCATTCCACCCACATGACATCCCCACTGCCACTTTGGCAAGCGGTGTGACCGCCCATGCGCAGGCTCCTGTCCAAAGCAAAGCAGAAGCACCTCAGGCAAACTCGAAAACCAACGTACCACCGGCAGCCTCAACGCAGCAGGAGGCTTATGACCTACTGGCTGATTTCCCAGCTCTCCAGCCCCCAAAGAAACCTTTAGCATTGGGTGTATTGCGTGATGGGAATCCCAAGACTAAAAATGCAGCAGGGAAAAGAGAGCTTACTCATTTACCAAACCACTGCCAAAAGATGGCTTCCCATCAGAGGAGGATGGAAAATGTGCCCCGCGAGGTCTTCTCCATCTGTGCAGGAGATCAAAAATCTGTGCTAGACCTTCAAACATTTGGCTCGACCAACCAAGTCAAGTCTCCTGCCATCAGCTGTGAGGAGATGAAGGCCAACAATCATCCGCCTCCTACAGGTAATAAATCTGCCGTGTGTCTCTGCCTAGCTGTGCTCTTTCTAAGCCTCTCCCTCTATTGGTTGGCATAAATAATCTGGTAATCATTTTATGCCATTCGCAATACCCTTTGGAGATACAAATGCACAAACACACACAAACATCCCTGTCTGAGAATCTCTTATTGATATTAATGACAGTGACATACTCGGTTAATTAAAGGCAGAAGAGAGGCAGCCTGTCCCAGGCAGAAACGCTGGCTCTCAGAAGTTACTGAGTCCAAATTTTGCAACAGTCCAGGTCACAAAGTTTTACCTCTTTCCCTCAGCTATTCTTAAAAACTCATTTAATGAAACTTTTTTGTTTCTGCCATGTAGCAGGCGGCTTAGCTTCACCACTTTGTTGACTTTTGTGAACTTGAAATCTACTTCTTGATCCAAAGAAGTTGTGTCCATTGCAAAAAAGCCAAATCTGAACAACCTTATCAATCAGGGGGCAGTGCTCTGCGCCACTTGTCCACCCACGTGTGAACACACACACGCAAACATTGCATTGCTTTGTGTAGGTGTTAACACACTTTGCTCGGCATCGGCGTTGCAGGGAAGTACTTCCTCAGTTGGATGACTCAGTGGGAAAATGTTTTCATAATGAGGGGATTATTTTGCAGTGGCAAAGTGAATTACACGGTGAGCCTTCCATACTGGTTGTTGGTGCAGAACAGAACAGTGGCCACAGATAGGAATTAAGTCAACAACAACTCAAGTACACTGTGTTAATTTTAGTAGGGAGTATGGCTTGTACAGTACATACAGTACCTCCTTCAAACTTTCCAGTGAGGTTGTAACTTTGCTATTCTATTTATGAATAAAAAAATAATGTGTAACCTAGGCATATTTTCATGCGAGAATAATTGAATATATATAAAAATATACAATTCAGTTACTTGTAATTCCATTTGAATTCCATGCTGCAGTTTAACAGGTGCACGGCTGCAGCTGAAGGCAGCTCTACTCAATAAATGTGCATATGTGATACATACTGCTAGCACTCCTTGAGCAGTCAGTGCTGATATGATAGAATTTACTCTCTGATAACATAGTCCTGTTGATTCACTCTGTTCATCCCCTGAGGGGGGGACTGCTGAAAATTCCTTTGCAGCAGAAAATAACAGTTCTATTAAGCTTACCCTCTGCATCACACTTAACATGACACAGGCCAGGCAAGACGATGTGCATGTGAAATGGGTACAGTGCTAATCCTTGCCCCTTTGCTCCCTTGCTGTGCATATTGCAGTTGCAGGTACAGATGGCGTGGGTGTTAATGCCAGGTCCTGGGCTAGCGCTGCCAAGGCGGGCATGAAGCAAGCAGCTGCCCCTCAGGAGAAAGCCAGACCTTGTACCTTTCAGCAGATAGTTACCATTAACAGAGCCAAAGGTAAGTTTATACCTTGGCATCTTTATCCAATGTGTGTGTGTGTTGGAAGTAGTGTGTGCAGGGGAGTGGGTATTGTGTTTCACGGTGGGCCACATGAAGAATTCATCATGATCATCGCCGGTTGGGCGCATTTATTTTGCAGCACTAACTAAGCTGATGGCTACAGCATGTCCCCTTGCCCTTTATGCACTGCGCTTCAAAGATTCTGTGTGTAGCATTTTTAAACATCAATATATCATTGTCAAATTAATTGTGATATTTTGGATTGTTTACTGGATGCAAATGAGGCTACGGTTGAGATGTGTAGTGGTCTCTATCTCATACCAGTGATATTGATGTTGATGTTTGTGACATTAATTAATCTGTACCTTTTATCAAGCTCAACACTGAACACTGACACGTCCCTAGCACAGTTTGAGGTGGTCTGATACTGTATTCATATAAATAATAAAGTGACATTTTTACAAGACAGACAAGTAATCTAATAAAACTCAAACTGCTTCAAAAATGCTATACTGCATATTATCACATCATATTTTCCATAAGTCCTCTTGCTGTCTTTCTCAAATTAGATGTTGCAAATCAAATATGGCTGTATTGAGCAGCTCCCATATCTCTTAGTTGTGACGGGAAAATGTTCAAACTTTGCTCTCAAACGCTGTCAGTCATCAGATTTTGCTTGATATCACAGAGACTGTAAATTAGTTCAGACGTGTCTGCGTACTGTCAGTCAGCTTGTCAAATTAAAAGTATGTTTTCAAATTTGCAAATGTACCAGTGTACCATCACCTAAATTGAATGAACCAGTCGGTTGTTTCTCTGGAGAAGTTGCTTCTCTGATACTGTATGTTTATGAATTGGGAGGGGACCATTCAGTGCACTTTGCATGGGGTTTTATGTGGGAAGTATGTGTTTGAACATGTTGTGGCACAAGACAAGTAACTTTTCAAGTTAATGCATTTGAAAAATAAAAACCTCTTAATACTCTAAATTAGATCAGTTAAATGCATGTTGTATAAATATAGGATTTCATTTATTTGTCATCAAGTATCATTATCCCAGTAATAGTATTCACATAGAGTCTTTATATTAGGTTAGCAGTCAATTTTTTCCAAACTAGTAACTACTATAAAGTAGGGATGTAACAATACAATCAACTCATGATTTAATACAATGAATGACACTGGGTTTACGATATAATGTTCTCACAAATGATTTTTTAAACAAAATGAGACAAATAATATTCCTTTATTTCACAAAAAAAAATCACATTTTGTATTGCGATGTGTCTATGTATGTGAACTGTCTTGTGACATATCTTTACATTCCTACTTTAAAGGACTTTTATTAAAAGGCATTTACCAATAAAAACATTGTTTCTCACACCTTTATCTTTTTCTTTTTTGTCCTTTCACAGCCGGGTATTCTGCTGTTCAGAACTTCGGCAACAAAGTGACTCCTTTTCATCAGGCGGCCAGTCCGATGGTGACTGCTACGTGTCATGGCCCTCGACACCGAAACCCAAACCGGTTTGTTAAACCAGGTTTAAACACCCACCAGGTGAAAATATGATGAGCTTTAAACTGATTTAAAAAATGAATCTGTAAGCTGGTGTGTATATTCTATACATGTATTCAATTCGATTAAGCCAGCTAGATAGTTATAATGGTTACATCTATCTGATAACGTAGTTTTAATTGCTTACTGATTATACGCATTTTAACAGTACTCAAAGTTCAGTTCTTGAAAGAGGAATCAAGGGGGAGATTTGCTTTGAAGTGGATATAACTTTGCAGTGACCCACATCATCTCAGCACTACTTATCCTGTATTATTGCTTAGTTACAGACCATTCACAGCTGATCAGAAAAACCCAGCTCTCAGTCCAACAAAGCTGCTTTTACCACACAGCTCTCCCTTTTCAATTTTTACTGTAACTAAACCATAGGAACACCACAAGAAAGCACTTCACACTTTTGTAAAAAAAACCTGTCATAATGCTATACCAGCTAACACATATTCACTGTATATATTCACAGCTATATTTAGGTGAGCCTGTGACCTGCCCTCTATCACTAAGCCAAACAGGGTGTGTGAAATACCTATGAATATAATATCTCTTGGTACTTGATGATGTGTACTGAGGGTGCACGTATCAGGGAGGCTCTCTCAGCCAATCACAATGAGCAGTCAGGAATAGTGTTTCAACTGTAATTTTCTATTCTTAACATGACTTCACTCAAACCTCAAGACTAGTTAAACTCTTGACATTTAATTTCTGATGCTGGGAAAACATCTTAAAATTCAGTCTATTAAAACAGCTTGTGTAACGTTGTAGCAGCAGGGTGTTAACTTGTAATTACAAGTTACAAGTATACTGCCGGATCCATCTACTGTACAATGACTAAGCACAGCTAAGCGTTGTATAAGCAATGCAAATTTGTGATAATGTATGCCACTGCAATGAAGGTTTTGCTTTTGCATCATTCAACAATGGTGAGTCTCACTCAGCAAAAAGTGTATCCAGCTTGTTGCAGGGCAATATAAAATAGGTACGTTGAGGCATTTAAACAACAACTGCCACGACTGGCATTACAGTTAGTCTTGTCTTCCCACTGTATGCTTGTAGCCCAACCCATATATAGATAAATGACCTCTATAATAATTGAGCTCTTATTGAAAAGCCAAACTTTAAAAGGAATAGTTGAACATTTTGTTTAGAAGTTAGAAGAGAAATTTGCTACCACTCTCATAGCGATTAACAAATGAGATACAACTTGTTAATAACTTAATTTTATTTAACCTTTGGACAGAACCTGGCTAGCTGTTCCCCCCTGTTTCCAGTCTTTATGCTAAGCTAAGCTAAATGTTGAACATAGAGACATGAAAGCGGTTTCGACCTTCACATCTCACTTGAAGCAAGAAAGTAAACAAGCATTTTCAGAACAATTCTTTTACTCTTACTAAGCATCCAAAAACCTTGAACAGACAATGTTGTTCTTTCAGGCTTTATTTCAGGGTTTTTGTCCTGATTCAGTGGGGACTTTAGAGTGTCAGGAAAGCAGAATATTTACTTCACTCTGTGTAAAAGCAGAACACCATATTTTTACTTCTCCATCTTTTCCTCTTTCTCAATCTCTCCTCATCCTGCCCTTTCCGTCTGTGACCTATTTAAATTTGGGTTGCACTTTCCTTTACCATGTGCGATGGTGACGGTGACAGCAAGGCTTACTGCACTCTGAGGTTTGCCCCTTTGGCCTCAGCACTTCCAATCCAGCAGGATAATTACTAAGGCTGCAATGCACATTCCCCCTGGGTGGAAGTGGCAATATGGGGGTCTCTTGGTGTCAGCTGAGAAATGAGATGCAAGGAGGCAAACCTGAGTATGAGAGAGAGAGGGAGATAGAGAGAGACTGTAAAATGCATGATGGTGATGGAGAGAGACATTATAAAAGTTTTATGTTTGGCAGCAAAACAGCTGATGCAGAGATGCAAGTAAATGTTTATAGAGAGTGTGAAAAAGTTATGAGAACTATTTCAGACACTGACACATTTTAAAATCTTTCTCTCTCTCACACACTCACACACGGAGGTTCTGATCACATGCGCCTACCTGTTCGTGTTCAGGTGCTGACCATAACCTAAATATTCTGCTATTAAAGTTTTACAGGAAAGAGAGAAAAGATAGAGTTGGGGGGGGAATCTGATAAGGAGAAGCTAAAGAGCTTTTTATCAAGGGTGGGAGTATGAATGAGAATGTGCTGTGAATTGGTGATAGTAATCATTTGAGTTTCTCTTAAAAAAAAAAGTCAAGGCCACTCAGGTATAACCAAGATCCTATATGTGCCCACGTTCTGAATTCTGAGTGTTTTATTCTCCCAGCCATTCACTCAGCCGCCCTAACCATTGTTTAGCATTGATTTAAACCTCTTCTGTCTCAGTAATCAAATCCAAGATATCAGATACTGCCTCTAAGAGAGAGCAATTAAGTGAAGCTCTTTTTATTGTGCTGGTGAGTTGGCATAGGCTGGCAGTTGGGTGCCACAGCACTCAAACTAACAAAAAACAAAAAACTAACAAAAACAGGGAAACAAATTGACAATTAAAAATGTTCCACTCTTGGCAGAAGGAAAAAAAGAAGTGAGTGGCCAAATTGTTTGGTTTAGCAGCCTGATCGATGGTCTGTTGCAAGTGTAGGATTGTCAGAAACAAGGCACGTTTGAAGGGATGTGAGAGGGAGGAGGGTTGGCGGGAATGAGGCTTGTGCATTTGAGCCTGTGTGCCCTTCAGCTTGTGTAAGTGCGTGAGAGGCAGAGACATAGGCCAAAGTTTTCCCTCTTGCATTCTTCTCTCTTCTTCCAGCTAATAAGCCTGTCTTTGAGCTGTTGCTAGGCTACACAGGTCTGTTGTTATTCTCTGGCAGGTGGCCTTTTCCTTCTTTAAGTGTCTGTGTGTGTGTGTGTGTGTGTGTGTGTGTGTGTGTGTGTGTGTGTGTTTGTATGCATACATGTATATTTGATACCAGTGTGTGATTGAGCCAAACAGAGAAAGTTAAAAAGAGACAGAAAGTATAAAAACAAAGATATGATGATATGAAAATATGATCAGACCTGACCCCGAAGAATTACATCAGTGTTATACAATACTTCCTCACCGCATTGTCTTGGATTTTTTTTGCTTTTGACCACTCAACGGATCTTTTTTGGTTCTGTGTGTTCGCATAATCAACCTGTTCATGCAGGAGGTGCGTTTGTGCATGATTTACCTTGAGTGTTAGAGCCTTTAGCGGCATGTCCATTTCATCACAAACCTTTGGATTCGGCTCGTGTGAACTCATACGGCTGAGGCCATCTTTAAAGTAAGGAGGCTGAAAAATCTTGTAACTAGGCAACAAAACATGGTTCTATGTGTCGTGATATGCGCTCTAAATGAAAATACTTCAAAGCCCCTAAAGAATATGGGATGGTCGTCCCTCCTGTGACTGTTTTCATGGGGGTGGAAGGAGAGATAGTGCAGAAGAAGCCTAATCGTCTCTGAGAGAGATCCATATATTGGTTTTAAGGTGGGCACGAGAGACACAGATCCGGTTATAAGTCCAATCAAGGTGTTTGTTCATAATCAGTAAATTTAATCCCTGTCTCTCTGTTTTCAAGCTTCCATGTTAACTCTTCAGTCCCTGTGAGAAGACACCTCAGACCTCTTTGAGCTTCACATAAAATATTTATAATGTAAAAAAAACATAGAAAACAAACTAGAAGCTGGTGAAACAGTTAAGGATATAATAAGTAAGATTTTCACTGCACCAAAGCAGAAGATTACCATAATATACTTGTGGGGATTTGTTGAGCATTACTAATGACTCAAAGATAACTTGCCAAGTGTTGAGGTTTTTGGCTTTCAGAGCTCACTCTCCAGTCCACACTCTGTTTTGGATCAAACCCCCCGCCCACGCGCTGGCATTTTCAAATACTCAAAGATGGATGATGGTGCTATGAGTGAGCGCCTGGCATCACAAGACAAATGACATATTATATATTATTATTGCCCCCCTGAACATGTACGAAAACTAAATTTTTTTTGGCAAAGTTGTCAGGCCTGGTGAAAATCACTACGCTACTATCATAAAAAGTGTTTAGGCTAATCACTTCTGCATAGTTTGTCGCACATTCAAAAACCTTGTATCCACGTGTTCGGTGAATAGAACCGAATCTCCACATATAGGCCACGCCCACTTCCGCCTATAATTTTTCTCTGCTATAACACTAAATGTCCAAAAACTACTTTCCTGTGTTCCCCCATGCGCTTTGTCCGATTCGCACAAAATTTTTCACGTAGCATCTGAGGACCCTCATAATAAAAAAGAGATTAAAAGAATTTTGATATTTCAAAAAACCAGCACGTTATAAAATTAGCACTTCCTGTGGATTTGTTGTCAAAAAAAGGAAGTGGACCATTTCTTCACATTGGTATGTCCGATTGACACCAAACTTGGGTCCATAGTTCCACATGTCTTCCTTAGGCATTGGGCACAATTTCAGGCCATCGCCACAAAGTGGCGCTCTTTAAAATGAAGAAGTTTATATCTCTACAACGGTATGTGTGATTAAGATGAAACTTGGTACGATGCTTCCCCATGGCTCCCCGAGGCTCACTAAAAAATGTGTCAACAATCCGCCACTAGGTGGCGGTCTGGTGGCAGTGTAAATCACTGTGCGGAGACCGTCATAGTTATGAATATGAAATTCACAGGGCACGTGAAGAGTGGTGCCTGAAGCTCACATACCAAAAATCGTGTTTGTCGTGTTTGTAGCGCCCCCTACAGGATATGTACGAAACTCGGTAGGCACGTGTAACATGCCGGGACGTACAAAAAAGCCTCTTGGACCCATACCTTATGTGAACTCCTCCTAGAGAATCTATCAGATCTAATTCAAAATTAGTCAGTACAGTCAAAAAATGTTGCTGATTAAAAGTTGTGCTATTTGTGACTGTACGTTTATCCGCGTGCCCGTGATGACGTGTCGAATTCCACCCATTGGCCATCAAACAGATAGTACTCATATCTTCAGTGTAGAGTCCCACCCTGAACACGTCCTCATAACTTCAGCGTACATGATCCAATCTCAATGAAACTTCATGTGTTTGATAACAGTCCCACCCTCAACACGTCTACATGACAATATTCAGACATAGTGATAGCGCCACCTATTGGTAACAGGAAGTATCACATTTTATACTTTCATGTTCTACTCCTCGCAGGATGATCAGATCCAGCTGAAATTTACTTACAAAATGCAAAACACATTGTTGATGATATGTGTTGACTGTGGTGAGGGGGCGTGTCTGTGTGGTGGCGGGAAATTTTGATGTACCGCCACAAAACATGAATTCGCTATAACTTGAGTGTACATTGTCCAATCGGCTCCACACTTCAAATGCTTGATAAGAGTCCCGCCCTGAACACGTGTACATGACAACATTCAGACATAGTGATAGCGCCACCTACTGGCAACAGGAAGTAAGCGCTGCGTGGCGATTTTGAGCTGATTAACGGCAGATTTTCATGTCTTGGTCTCCACGTGTTACGACGGCACGCAACGCGGCCGCAGCACGCCCCGAGTTGCGTGGAGTGCGAGGTCCCGCCCAACGCTGCTTGCAGCTTTAATTATTATTGTTATTGTTACTATTGCACTGCTTTTCATCGTGATCAATTACCTCTTCAATGCAACTGAACACAACTCTACTCTAATTAGCTAAAGCTTAGATCTACGGTGAAAATGTGACATTATGATTAATACAATTTACAGCCCATCAAAATATAAAAATAAATAATAAACATTGATTAATGACAATTATAATTTAATAAGAATGATGACACTTTTCTTTCTTATTATAATGGCATGTTAATAAAGGTCTTTAAAAGCATTTGTGCTGCTGTGCTTATGGTTTATGAAATAAAATAGCATGATACACTTATATCATTTTATTATTTATTTTATTTATTTATTTTTAACTATACACAGTAAATACAATCAAGTAGGGACATGACTAATTCCTGTTGCTTACTGTACCACATATATAAACCAGATCATCCATGTAGGGACATAAAATATACTGTGAAGTATCCAACCCTGCACTGTCTTGCAGGTTTCTACAGTAAGTTAAATGTTTAAACCTGCTATGTGTGTTTTATCTGATTATAGTATATTTGATATTATTCTGATGGCATATGTTTTTGTTTGTAAAGAAAGAGACAATCCTGAAGTTGCCAAAATCAAAGAACATGGGGTCTTTTTTAAATATAAAGAAATATTTATTACTACATTAAAGTCAAACTAAAATTTGAATTCCCCAAGCTATAATGATATTTCTGCTACTGAACACATTATTCCATTAGTCAAGAGATGATAAAACAGTTTTGGAAACATTTTTGAAAACAGTATCTAAGCCCCTGGGTGGGCATTTCCTATGCATGCATCCGCTGACTGACATCTGAGAGCTGGCATTGTGTGGGAAAGGCACTGTCAACTTCCATGGTGCACACCTGACTGCTGGTAGCCCAGTAAAGCCTACAAAAGACTTTCCCCTTTTTCTACAAAGCCACACAGCACTGGTAGCTTAAACAATCATTTCAACGGTATGTGCCATTATAATATTAAATACCATGCTGTTCATTTTTTATTTAACTTGGTCGGCGAACTAGGCTAACTAGCTCTCACTCTGAATGTGGTATCCATGTCAGCCCAGTTTGCTAACGATGGCGCTGATTTGCAGTAGACATTACTTTTACTTATTCAACACCTGCCGAATTGTTAAGCTCCCGTACACTCCGTTGTGTTTCTCACAATTTATACAAAGTGTGAGTCCAGGTGTGGTGATGGCAAATGATCAGACCAGGTAGTCCTGTGACCTCGGTGCTCTGTAGGTACTTACTGAGATTTGAATCACGACACAGAGTAACGTAACATAGGAAGTGCTCAGATTACAACATGGTACAAAACAACAGCAAAAAAACCTGCTTTCCAGCTGACCCCCTCACCCTCTTCACCACCTCTCGCATGTGATGCCCTGAAGGAGGCCCTATAGGTACCTGCACACCAAATCATCCCATTTTAGAAACAGTTTTTTCCCCACGCAATGAGAACTCTGAACACTTTTCACTGACTCTGACAGATGTACCTGCAGGTAAAACTCCTGTAAAAACTCTATTTTCTTGTCTTATAGTAATCTGTGAAGATTGTATGTTGTCCGAGTCATTGTGTCTTATTGATATCTGTCTATGTATGTATGTTACTGACCCAGTTGCATTGGTCTTACCTACCATGTTGTATCAAAAGAAAATCCCATTGACCTTGGTTGTGTGGTCATTAATGATTGATAGATTAATTTGTTAACTGCCTGTGTGGCTGATACAGTACTATTAGTGCCTCGCTCACACGATTTCTTATTTTTGGTAACTATAAACTACATTTCTCAAGTATTTAAGCCAAAAGGAACATACAGGATATGTACTGATTTCTGAGCAAAAACTATGGTTTCATACAAGAAACTGTCACATAATTCCAAGAGACAAGTGACAAGACCTTTCAGCACCATTGGCATTTCTGTGATATTGCAGTGCAGCTGTTTTGCTACCTTTCTTTATGGAAACTCTCCAAAGCAATTTGTCCAAATTGTTTTCCTGAAAATATTGTTGCATTTTTACTCCAGTTCCATTGTACTTCTGAAATATTACACACAGACAGTTCACTGAACTCATCTCTTTACTTATTCATTTGGTTTGCCAAGGCAAAGCTGCCCAACCTTGTGAGACTGTTTATCTGCGAAGGAATACCTCAGACCTACTCCTCATTGACACTTTCTTGGCTTTCAATCTAGTTAAACATTGATTCCGTCTTTCTCATCCTCAGGCATATTCTTTATCTGTCTTTTTCTCACCTTTCTCTCTCTCTCTCCATCCTTCAATCACTTGTTTATATTCTTCTCGGGCTGTCTTCTAATCACTTGTTTAATCTCCTCTCTTCCTCTAGCAGTTTGGAGGCCCGGCGCATCGAGCCAACTGTCCTCCAGGATTCAGATGTCCCCGTTTTCCTCTCCAACAGGTGAGACCACGAACAATCTCATTTTCTCCCATCCCTGAAGTTTGGAGCCAGTTCTAATCTGAATTTACGTCCAACTGTAATTTACGTGGGAGTCTTTGCATGCACGCAGCAGCTGCGACTCCGTTCTCCATTGATTCTTATTTTATTTCATGAAACTGTCAGCTTGTATTACATATAAAAAAGCTGCCATTGTGCAATAAATCTTCCTCAGTAGAGATTACACAATCTTCTGTGAGAATGATGCTAAATATAAGTCACATTAGATTGGAATATGCTGCACACATAGGAATCAGAAGAGTATGTGCATGTGTGTACAGGTATGTATGTATAGGCAAGTGCATGTGTGTTTAAAAACTTGCTCGCGCTATATAATTGCATATGGGGGAAAAAAGGGTTTTATTTGTCCTGGTGTCACTCCTGATGGATGCCCCTCATAAGACAAGCACAATCAGGGATCATTCCTCATCTATCCTCCCACTCCTTACCCTTCCTCTCCATCATATTTTATTCCCTTAGCCTAACGCTTCCTTTTTTCCCCCGCTTTCTTTGTTGGCACTGGTAGCTAGTGGTGTCACAGTGAATTTCATGCTGCCACATGTTGTGTCTGTTCTGTCCTTGTTGAGAAGAAGGCAGGCTGTCTTTAATAATAAGTTCTATGACCATCACAAGGTTACGCAAAATGGCAGAGCTTTAGAACAGACAGCTTGTCGCCATGCTCCACCATCATATAGCCTATACGTAATTTTCCACTTTTAAGAATTCTGCTTGGGGAGGATCAGAAAAGAGTTTCTTTAAGGCCACATTAATTATTTTGCCATTTTCCACTTTGCTTTGAGTGCCTCATGCATTGTTAGACAAACAGAGAATGGGAGATTGAAGGACAGTAGCAGACTACTGCCCCCCTGCAGCCATTGGATTAGCTAATACTACTATTACCACTATTGATAATAATATTGATAATAATAATAATAATAATAATAATAATAATGAAACATGAAAGCTAAAGGTTTAAAGGGTAAGCTCACCCAAACTACAAAAACACACAATTTCCAATTTACCCAGACCCCTCCTAATATTTGGCCATGCAGAGAGATATCCGTCTACTCTTATTATTACTCATTATGCTCATTGGAACTAATAAGAAAAAAAGTTCTAATAAAAAATGTGATATATATATATATATATATATATATATATATATATATATATATATGTGGCCTGGTGAAGACCGAACACAAATAAAATTATTTTTGTGGGTGTTTATTCCCCGACTGAGCTTAATAAAGAACAGCATTAATACTGTATTTTTGAGGATTTAGGACAGTTATAGTTATAACAAAACAGAATGATAACTTCTCCCTATTCCTTGTCTGACAACAAGCATCAGCTTTAACAGTTCTCCTTAGCACTTGATGAACAATGGTGTATGTAGACTACCCACAGCTACAGTAACCAGGCTCAAACTCATACAGCTCAACTTCATTAAACTGAACTTCAGACATTAGCTAACTCTAGACAACAGTAGTGGCACCTCTCTAAATAAAGAAAATAAAAAAATTTGTTAAGTACATTTGTTAAGCCACGTAACTCATAGTCACTTCAACATAAAATACTTCAATTCCATGAGGAATATAAAAATACATTCATAACAAAATATTCTCTTCATTCATACATTCTTACAATTCAGAAAAAATTTTCAGAGAAGTACAATTAACTCACTTTCACTCCAGTGTGCAGCCTGTGTTCCAAGACACACACCTGGAATTCAACACGCATATGTCTCCCCTCTAAATTAGGCAGAAAACATACAAATGGACATAGCTTATTTAAACAGTCAGCATACATTGAAATTAGATAATTCTGTTTATATATATATGCTTTAACATTTCTCACGCTAACCCCGCTGTTCAGTGTTGCCCTCAGCGTGGCGGAGATACGCACACAAATTCATTTCCAGATCTACAGAAATCGTCAGGAATACAAAATCGTAATTTAATCAATCTTAAGTCTTCTAACTTAATCATTATCTCATCTGCTGACACTTATAACCATTTTCATATTTTACCGAAATTTATAAGGATATTTATGTGAAACATAAACAAAGATACACACCACGGCAGTCAGTCACCTCCTGGTACTGCCACTTCCTTGTTTCTGGTGTCTCGGCAAAACTATGCGCTCAGGCGCGATTTTCCTTTTGCGCTGCTTATAGCATAACAATGCCCCCTTGAGGGAAAAATAATGCTACTGCAGTACTAAACCCACAACCAAACTACATAACATTTTTAAGGAGAAAACCCCTGTGTAACCCATGTTCACCTGGCTATATATATATATATATATTCATCAAAGCTATGTGCTTATTGTTTTCACAATACAGCCAAAGTACAGTATTCATAGTGTTGATCATCATGAGAAGCATCACCGTGACCCCAGTTCGGAAGGAAGGTGGTTGTGATCACAGGTGCATATCACCCATCTATACCATGTTACATTTACAGATATAACACTTCTTGCTGTCTTGTTATCTGTGACAGACAGGATGAAAAATGCATCATGTGTGATCACAGCCATCCTGACTTTGCCACCGTTAATGGTGCTCTCCAATTGTCAGCAAATCGGCCACCAAAAGGACAAAGATGACACTCATTTTGTGTCTTTATTGATGCTTCTCCGTCATTTGGAATAAAGCCATTTATTCACAGCAGTAAAAACCTCACAGTTTTTATTGTTATTAATATGTCCGAGTGCAAATATTGTGTGCATATCTTTGAAACAGCTTATTTTCTGCAGAGCACAGTGTGTATGTGAGTGTATCTGCATGTAGCCTCCACCTTCAAAGCCACTGCATGCTGATTGTTCTTTAAATTCTGACTCTGTCCTAAAAAATGTGCCCCAGCCGTGGTCATTTATATTCATAATTTGTACTGTGAGTTAAGAGCTGATCCACAGCTGATTGCGCTAAGTGTTGCGTGTGTGTGTGTGTGTGCAACATACACGTGCGTCTGCTCGTGATACCTCATACATCTGATAGGCGGATAAAAAACTTCGAAGGAACTCCAACTCTGGCCTCATTCACCTTGTGTGGTGAACAGCAGTTGCCTGAGGGGCTCATTTCTCAGTTAGCTTCAAACAGATAGTCTAATAGCTGCTCAAAGGACACACAAGCTTCATGCCGTCTACTTTATTCCTCTCTCTTTTTAGCGAGGCAGAAATATGCCTTGTTGTGGTGAAATGAGTAAAGATTTGACAGAGTCGATGAAACCCATTATTAATATTTAACAAAGCTCTTTAAACTTACATGCCGCCATTGCCTAGTTGAACCGAAAGAGAGGGAGAGGAACAACAGAGAAGTAAATGAGTGGAAAAAAGAAGAAAGGAAACGAGAAGATCCCCTTGTAGAGGTTTTAAATTTTCTGGCTGCAAGACGCTTGGAGTCCTGAAACTCCGGAATAGATGGTTGGATTTTTTTGACTTCTAAGATACTCATCTGCACTTGGAATAATGAATGTACTCGTTAATTTTCTATAAATAAAGCCTTTGTAAAGGATAGCAACTCTCGGGTAGTCTGTAGATCACATGGTCCCTTGATGTCATCACTTAGGAGAGATGGTGACAGTTTTCTTCCTCGTGTCTTGACATACTAAATGAGTAAACATGCACCCTGTGGTGCATGGAGGTGCATGGAGCACAGCAAAACTCAGCATATAGCTCACAGTCATGTGGAACGCCTCCACCCACCTCTTCACATAAAAGACAGGGGGGAGGAGATGGAAGAGAAAGAAACTGATGAGTTAGATGAGAAAAAAAGTGTAGGCTTGTGCTTAATAGATTATTCCAAAACACTCTTTGTTTATCTGATGCGCTGATTTGGTTTATCTTAAGCAGAGTGTTGCCGCAGTCTGCATGTTAAAAAGTTGGGTTCAAGCACCACGCAGCACATAGCTTGTTATACATTTTTTGTATTTGCTCAATTCCTTTTTACCCTTATATCTCTTCTTCAACATTGGACCTCATGGACCCAGCAGAGTCCCGTCACCCTAACAGCTCCAATGCCAACAACTCTTACTGGCCTTATCTCACCACATCTGCCTATTAAGTACTGATATTCTCTCATCTTCCAAGAGATCACCTGTGTGGTGAGTGGCGATGTGATATAATTTGGAGGACTTGTTGGGCTTATATATATTTATAGATAAAGTCAGAGGCAATAAGCATGTCAACACCAAAGCTGGATTTATAGTTGCACGCCGTAGCTTACCTTCTTTAACTACTGACTACACATCAGGTCTACCGGGGCTAAATACTAACCTGCCAGAGGGTTTGTTTCACAGAACCATCTGGGAAATCGTCATTGGAAACTGTTCACAAAAGGGAAGGCACTTTCAAAAAATACGTGTCAGGTGATTGGATGAACCACCTGTCCATCAATGTCTTTCGCAAGCGAACTTCAACCAGTATAACATGGTCAAACTCCGAAGCCAGTCAGGAGATGAGCGAAAACATATTTTCTTTGCCGTTCTTTGCTTTTTGCTCCGGTTCTGATATAACTGATGCAAGCGGCATCTATGCTAACCTCTTTAGCAGCCACCATTGTTGTTTTCGAGCAGTCACCTGTCACTCATATCGTTACACACACCTAGCATTAAACCATGGCTGTAGCTCGTGCAGAAGCTGCCAGTAGTTCCTCAAATGATGCTGACTATCAGGTTCGCAGAAACACACGAGCAAAGCCATAATCCATATCCACTGCAAACCTTCTGCTCAACAAATTTAGCCACGTCTGTTAATGATGCTCATACCAACGTTCCTCCAAACAAACCAGAAATCTAAAACACATCACTTTTATTGCGCCAGAGGATTTCGTAACAGCTAAAGTAAAAGGATTTCATGAACTTTCATAAACTGGGTATAGGTGAATCACTTCAAGTACACAGATCAATCTGCAAAAAGAAAGCAAAAGTTCTTTGTTTTACATGAAATGGATTACTACTTAAAGA